TAACGAGATCTTCCCACATTGTCGAAGATCTTCTTGGTGGCCGCTTGCCGCCAGGCATTTAATTCAGTATTCGCTTCGCAAGGTGGCTATCGTACATTCGTTGGCAGCAGCCCTACTATCTTAAACGCCTTGTTTGCAGTCAGTCGGTCATGTTCTCTATTACAACAGCATTTGACTCGAAATCGTATCCTTTCATTCCTAACACTGATCTCAAAATCTTCATTTCCATCGCTCCTAGTTTCTAGTACTGAGCCTTCTTCAATGTTCCTGTCTCCAGGACATATACTATGATGTTCAGCTCTATATATCTGCAGCATGCTGCAATAGCCACATCTCTATTTATCCAGAGCTTGCTTGATTTGTTGTTCGCTCTAACGCAAACTCAAACTTTCAGCGCATCTCAGATGTGGCAGTCATTGGTCCATCTGGGGCCAATGTACCGCCAACATATACATATTTCGCACCTTTCCATTAACTTTGGTATCAACGGTCAGACTGTGATTGGTCAGAGTTCCAAAAAAATTTATCTACTCCGTTTTCTTTAAGATAATCGAGAGACTCAGATCATAATACCTGTGTTTCACGGTTACGAATAGCGATAAAATGCTTGTTGCATATTATGAATAATTCATAAAATATATAAATTTTGCAGTAGGTAGATAATTAAGGACATGTACTAAGTTTTGCAGCAGATGGTCCTGATATTTTGTTAATTTACCTTTCTTTTGTCAAGAATGTCTTCTCTCGAACGCGTCCTGAGGCAGTCGGTTAGACGTGATTTTGCATGCGTTAACAACTCGATCATCGAATCTACCCGTTGCTCAACATTTTCTATGTCCACACTGATTACTTTGCTCTTTTCGGCTCTAAAAATTTAATAATAATTATAGACAAAATCTGCAATATATCTCAACAAAGATGAATTGAATAATATCAAAAATTAATGATATCAGATTTTAACTGCGAAAACGTGCAATGTGAAGAAAGAAAATTTATTTCTTACTTTACATCGTTACCACGCTTGTGTAAAACAGATGAAAATCTTACACCTGGTAGCACCGCATTACTTCACTGCCCTTTTGTTTGTAGTCGCCAAGGGGGACCATTTAAACAAAGTCACGACTCAATGGTATTTAAGCGCCTGTATTGCAGAGGGCGCAAGACCGCGTCGCGTCTCTTAGGTTCTGAAAGATTAATTAAGGGCTTGTATGCGTGAGCTTAATTAAGGGCTTGTCGAAAGAGGATTAACCGCAGAAATCGCAACTTTAAACTATTTCCAATCAATCGTACCGTCAACAACTCGCTACCTGACTGCCACCGTGGCAACTACATAATTGGTACAAACCAAATGGTACTAGCCTTTTCAAATTCGATCACATAACGACGCGCCAATAGCTCCCAATCAAAATGCACGTCAGTGCTAGAAGGCTTGCAATAAAGTTGACAAATGTTGCCCCCAGACTCTGCTACACAGAAGGTCATTCAACCCGGTTTCGCCATGCCCTCTCAAAGACTATCGAAGACCATCGAAATTTAGCGGCGTTATCCAAAGATGCTCATCGTAACATAGCTTTTATTGTCTAGTGCTGCGACGACCGTGCCATGCTGATTGCTATTACCGTTTGGGTTTGCTTTTGTTTTCATTTTAATGTTAGAATTATGCTTATTTTATTACGCTGAAAAATAGCGGCCCACAGTCATAACGTTCAAGTAATAAAACGTTAACAACGTCAACAAATGTACTGCTCCGATGTATGAAATCATGAAGTTATTTCAATGTCAACAACAGCATTAATAATATAACTACTGGTAGTCGCAATGGCAATAATAAAAGTATTTAGTATTACTAATAATTGAGTATATGCTTGGAAGAACTCTCAGTCGTACTTTAACTTGTAGCAGCATTATTAAGTAGTAGGGCTACCGTACAAATACTAAAGCTGAGAAACAGCGTTAAACAGATGTTAAGTACATAATGCAAATTCGTTTTTTGTAACAAAGATAACAATTTGAATTCTGGTTAGCCACAGTTATGTTATTTCTATCATTACTGCTACTGGTAGTGGTATTATCAGCAACTGCTCTTAATCGTGAAAGCGGTAGTTCTCTTAGAACCAATGTTATAGCAATAGCAGAAAAACACCTACTTACAATCTACGAGTAGAGACATCATTCATAAGTACTAAAAACAAAAACACGAATGCTAAAGTACTTAATGAAACGAGAGGCATGGTGAGACGTCTGCGTTACTACTGATAGCAACGACTTTTATTTTTAGTAGCATCAACATCTGACTACGCTACGGACGATAACATTTGTGTTAGTACTTGGCAAGTGTAAATGCTCGTGATACGTGTACAGTAACTGTAGGGAACTTTTTTGCTATTACCGCTGACAGAAATTCGATGAATGGCGCTGCAAGCATTAATAACAAAACTAAAAAAGTACTGATGTTATTTCTCTTACTACTGCTATCAATAGTAGTACTATCAGTAATTGCTCTAAATCCTGGTAACGCCGATGGTACAACTACTTCTATCAGTAATAGCAAACAAATCCCTACACATACTCTACCAGAAGAACGAACATTTAGTACCGACACGAACGCTACTGCACGTAATGGAACAAGAGGCGAAGTAAGCCATTGGTGCTAATAATAGCAAGAATCATGACTATTTAGAATAATACTGTGAGTTCAGCATTTGTTATTGTACCAAAAGCACCGGCACTTTATTCTGCTATTAAGAGCATTGCTACACAGCGGCAATGCTACAGTGACGTGTTGCAGGTCCGGATGAAGTATATCAACTGCTTAGTGCTGATAGGCTAGATGACGAAGTGACGCGATTCGTCAATCCATAGTAGACATGGCACTATTTTTGTGCCACCCGTAGTGCTCAGTCAAGAAGAAGCAACCTGGACGGAGCTTACAAAGACTTCAAAGAAGCGGTGATTTCCTCAACCAAAACGGTGGTTGCGGTCAGAAATTATTCAGAAAATCTTAGTCCTCAGAGTGCAAACGAATCGGGCAAAGCAGGAGAACTTGCAACACCCTACTGCACCGCCGACGGCAACTCATCACCGTCTCGTTCGTGCAGTCAATGAGAGCTACAGGTCGGACACGGAACTTCTGTTGGAGAGGCAAATCAGCAAGACAGATACAACATTCAGAAAGGAAGAGTTTCGAACGGTGTTTAAAGAGGTGCGACAGTTGTCCGATAAGCAGGTGACTCGGCCAACCTCGTCCAAAACGCTAAGACTGTTCAACTGATAAGTCAGAAAAACTCTTCGAAAAATGGACTGAGCATTCGCAATAGCTGCGCAACGGCTGGCTTAAAGATTCGTCATTTCCGGCCGTTAAGTTCCCTTATACCTTATCTCTGTGAGATTAGTGCTGTTTTACGGCATGGAAACAGTTTTTGTAACAAATAGCAAGAACGAAGGTGGAGCTGCTTACATCAGCGTTGGCTTCGACGCACAGCGGGAGTTAAATGGCAGACAGAAATGTCCTCAACAGGTGTGTGGAGATAAAAAATGAGGTTGGTTCTGAGAGACAAACTGGTTGTGCATAACATAATTTACGCCAGCCCGTGAGATTCTCCTGCCGTGTACGAGCCGAAACATGGCAGGAGGCCAACATGCAACATCACGGAAGCATAGGGGGAGGTGTAGAGGCAGATCTGCTTTCGCAGACAAATATCTCATTCTAGAATACGGTAACCGGTGCCTTACAGCGAAAGTGCCGAAAAACTACGGACTATGAATACAGCGCAAATCACAAACCAGACACGTTCTGCTTAAGCAAACGGTTCAAACCGATGATCTGAACAAACAACAATAAATTTATACCAGCCGCTTCATTGGGTCAAGGATATTCAGACCAGATGATATGGCTAACGTACTATGTCATACCGGCTGCACAGAAAAAGTGGATGGATTTTCTCCCGCGGCATAATGACGGCCGATGACACAACTCATTCATCCACCAGCAGAATAAGATCAGGTTCTACCAAGGCATGAATGACTAACAGTGGTTGGTGGAATCTGAGATCAGACATACGGCTCAATCAGTGTCAACGATATGCACCATTGTAAAAGGCTGGACGTTTTGTCAGTCGCTGGACCGTCGCCTGACATTAAATGTCGGCTCACGTGAAAATCGGCATCGGTTGGTGGCCTTTGGTTTCGTACGTAGTAGCGTAGCCGTTTTTAAGACGGTCCGATGACGCAGCACATTGCATTTGTGCTATAACAGGCAGTAGAAGCACAACAAGTGATGACGTCGAGTATGTTCA